CAGAGTGGGCTGGGAAATTGGGAGAATCCGATTGAGCATAGCTCTCCACTTACGAGTTCACAACAAAATCCTCTTTGCCATCAGAGATCATTATCTGACTACATCGATCCTGCACTTGATACATCTCTGAATATCACTCCGCCAACTAGAAAGCGACCTAGACCTACCAAGGTTTCTCGAACATCCTTCAGTAAAGCACTTACTCACACAACGGATGAAATGGTATATCAGCAGGAGCATGGAATGCCTTCAAAGTATGAAAGAGCAATCAAAGTCCTCAAGGACTGCTATTCGGATAAGCTGTCTGTAGATGAGATGGCCAAGGCAGTTTCTCTCTTTGAGGACAGGGCCAAGGCCTATGTGTTTATTGGATTATCACCTGGAGTAGTTAGAGATGCATGGATCAAGGATCAAATTGCAAACTGATAGAATAACTTGTAGATATACATGCTTTACCAGTTTTAAAGTTGGATTTTCTTTTTCTTCCTATAGCTAGATTAGAAATAGGAACTTTTTTTTTACATACATTGACCCTTTAGTGAAACTCATGCCTTCCCAGATATAACTGGTAGTCCTGCCACATTTTATCGGCTATCTGCTCCCTGATTTGCCCCATAGCTGGGGAAGCCTGTTCCTGTTCCGCAGCTACTTCCTCCTGACTTTCATCATCAGTATCTCCATGGTCACTCTCTCCCTCATATAGTCTATCACTCGACCCCTCCAGTTCATCTTGAGTATGGTCTTCATAATCTAATAGTTAGCTTTGTATTACAGAAAGAATATTTATATTTTACAGAATGAATGGAATATTTAGCATGCAAACCTTGTTCATTTAATTGATCCATAAAATGCTCTGCTTCAGGAGATTCCTTACAAATGAGGTTATGAAGACCAGCAAGTGCTACTACAAGTTTTACTTGAGTAACTATTGGGAACTCAAGTTGGCCTTGCAGGATAGAAAACCGACGCTTAAATATTCTAAAGGATCTTTCTATTACATTTCGTAATTGAGAATGTCGGAGATTAAAAAGCTCTTTTTTATTTGCTGGCCTATTATTATTTGAAATATAGTTAGAACTTATATTTCATTAAGTAGTACACTTGTAATCCCTTATGATTCCAACTTACCTTTTAGGCGACTAATAATGCTCATGCAAGTGATATCTAACCCCACGATAGAGGGTGAGGCGATGATTGCTCAAAGCATACCCGGTATCCTCCAGATAGTATTTTCCATCTGGATTCACAAATCCCTTTGCTAGAGCATCTCTAAAAACCCTTCCATCATGTGTGGAGCCCTCCGAACCTGACAAAACAAAGGAAAAGTACATGCTAAATGTACATGCGGCGAAAACATTTTACGATACCTATCCCTTACGATTACGAAAGCATGGGAGCATGGTATTCGGGACATGAGCGGTGATATGGGTACCATCCATGGCTCCAAGAGCATTCTGAAAGTATGGATGAAACTTAGGATTGCCCTGAACCTCATACGGGCATTCATTGGGTGCAAGCATAATAAACTCATTGGCTAATTCCACTAGGCCATCAAGGACACTGTTGAAATATCTAGTTAAGGACACATTAGCTATCCAATCACTATCTAATATGGTATAATGCTCAAGTAATAAGTAAGATGTCAAATATCCTTACCTGCTTACAGTATCTCCACTTTTTTGAAATCTTTCTTGGACCTGACCATTAGATGCATTGTGGGATACTGCCCAGACAAACATAGCCACTTGTTCAGTCACAAAAATATGTTGTGTGCTTCTCAAGTGACTACCCTGTTCCAACAAACTGCACAAATGTAGAAATACCTGCTTTGACATATCAAGAACCTCATGAAAGCGCTTCTCACTGGTAGTTGCTGATAATAGTTCCACAGTATAGGCTCTACTGGTTAGAATAGAGGTACGGACTCTTACTGCTTCAAATCCATGATCAACATACTCCTCGACATTGGCGATAACTTGAAGCAAATTGATATGCTTACGGGAACACACTTTATTGATTTCGGACATATCAGAATCAGAGTCTAAACAGCTCTCATCAGAGTCGAAGGTAGTGAGCTCATAGCTACTCTGAGGCAGAAAGTTTTCCGCTTGTTCTTCATTCATAATAAAAAGTGGCTGATAGTTGAATGATGCAAATTCAAATGATGTATAATCTATTAGCTCTTTGCTTCAAATAATGTAATATTACTCTTCATTTTATTTGTCATAACATGTATCATATTTCATGATTCAAACCTAGCCCTTCAAGAAATACATACAATACAAATTTATAGAGGTAATAAAAATATATTGTGATACAGCCACTAGACAAAAGTCTTGGTGATAGCTTAGTCAGCCATGGCTAAGCAAGGATAAAACACCCCCGTTTGAAATCACACCACACTCAAGCCTGCTTTCTTTACATTGCCTATCATAATAGTTCCTCCTAAAAAAGACAGCACTACAGCTCCAAGAGAGGACAAGTTCTGGGAGAGCTATGGTTGTAGGCCTTTTATTTGTCTTTTAAGTCATTTTCACCAGTAGCACCTTGGTTGATGTTCCTAGTAGACAGCTATTCTGTATCTATCTTTTCTTATCTACAGTTGACCATTTAGTATTTTCTCACACAGGCATAGGTTTGTGGATCTTGAATCTTAAGCTTGTTGTCCTAACTGAGGCTTGATAGATATCTCTCAGCTTCATTAGAAATCTGTGAATGTTTATGCAGTTTATGAAGGATGGTGTGATAGAGCCTGAGGCTAAGTAGAGGTATATAAAGTACCTGTAGGATTTACAAATTTACAAGAGTGTATTCTTGATGAATTATTTGCCCTTTTACTAGTAACTTTAAGATTTAATCTCCCACAATATCGTTGAGCTACGGTAGCTATTCAACTCATGCCATGCCGAAGCAGTACTTGTTCAGTGCACAGACTTTGTCTCACCGGTAGTTATCACCAAGACTTTTGTCTAGTGACTGTATAATGTCAGTTACCGAATACACTCCTATATAAAAACTTTAATATGCCCAAATTTATGCTATAAAAGTGACGTGCCAAACAGGGCCTAACTTCTTAAAGCCCCTTATCTTGTGCCTCTCCAGCCTGTAGTGTTACAAAAATTGTAGTCTTTATTTCATTTTCCATAACTATAAAAGCTTTAACCAGCTCTTCCATTAATAATTTTGTTGCATACTCACCTTGTAATTTCTCAGCAGCAAGCTCGGCTTTTGAAAGTTGAATCAGTTGAGCAGTTCCTTGAAGCTGATCAAACACTTGAGTAATCGCATGTCCAGTAGTCTTGTGTTCAGTCTTCATTCTCTTTATAGCTGGTAATCTCTCTTCTCCTTCTTCTTCCTCTTCTTCATTCCCCTTCTCTAAAGTATTTCTCTTATTCTTTTTCTTAATCCCTCTTCCATATCTGTTCACCTGCTCCTCTTTTTGTTCTCCTCCCATACTACCCTCTCTATATACTATATACTCATAAGGTATATTATTTCCCTTGCTTCAGCTATACCTCTTACAACCTAGGCTTTCTTGCTCCTCTTGCTCAGTAAGACCTTTTCCCATACCTTGCTTCTAATTAGTATTAATTCTTAGTTAATAATTCAAATGCTAAAAACATACCTCGCGGGCTTTCATCTCTTTCACTAGTTTAGAATAGTGAATGGAACCCAAACAAGAGATTTGTTGTAAGGACAAAGTCTCGGGTAGTAGAAATGTTTCCATATAAGTGCTTGAGAATTTGATGCATTTCAAATACCCTCTAGTACAGTTGAAATCATGTATTGATTATTCTATCCAAATCCTGAATTATTTTTAATTGTGCTATATATCTTATAATCTTTTCTTAACTATATTGTATTTTCAAATCTTTTATTAGTCTTTTATCTTGATATACATATTTCACTAGTAGCTAATATATATTTGTCCATTTAGTCTTTATTTGAGTAACTTCCAACTGTATTTAATAAGCTACTTTCTGTCTTTCCTTCACAGCAATCCAGGCTTCTTTTTAAAACCCATTCTCTGCATGCTTACTCAAAAGTACTTGATTGCATAGGATTCATAGGAGGGTCTCTACCATGGCCTCAGTCTATTTTACTTTTACTATTCTGATTATTTATGTTTTTAGAAATAAAACAAGAGGGATAAAAGTAAGGGTTAGGCTTTGGAGGTTGGAAATCTTCATTGTAGTAAACAGACAATAACAATTACAGGTATTATAATTATAACATTTATTTCTTAGCCCCATTTTATGTGTGGATCAGACATGCCACTGTGACTTTCATTTTACTGATTATGCTAACTTGGGAAAACTGCATTTAAAGGATGCAACCTCTATTTTATGATTTTAGCATTTTGGAAAATGGATGGCAACCAGACACACCCTTAATCTTTAGCAACTAGAGTATCTTACATAAAACTTGTTTATATAAAGTACCTCCCTAAAAGTGTTGGTGAAATGGGCTTTTTACACCAAAAACATTGATTTTTCGCCACTGGTAGTTTAGGAACCACAAAAGATTTTACAACCTGACTTCTGGTATGTAGTTACAATAATCCTACCCTACTCCTACTCGACTCTTAATAACTTTGGGC